AGAGGTACAGATCCTGACAGCATAGCCGGGTAGGTTGTCGGTGTCTGCGATCTCAGAGGACATTCCGAAGAACCCGTAACACGGGTATTGAGTCGGTATGCCGGCTTCGTTTTTTGTCCAAGTTGCCGGGCGGATGCAGTCTTCCGCAAGAATTTTGGCAACTGATTCCCAACTTGTTTTGTGGTAGATCAGGTAGGTGCCCATGTGTTCGCCACGGTAGATTGGTTTCTTCTTCAATCCTGTGGGAACCGTGATGGTCAGCAAGTTCTCTGGCTCGATGTAGAAGGCTTGTGTTTGCCTTGCGAGTTCAATGTCCAGTAAGTCGGATTGTGCAAAGGCCCTGGCAATATTCCTGACGGTGGCTTGGCTTGCTTTGATGTAAATACGATGGTTGTTGACGGTGCGGTATGGTTGGGCCAACTTTTCGAACATCGCGTCCACAAATTGGTTGAAGAGCTGCGAGATAGCCGGGGTCAATGATCGGCGTTAGGGGAACAACATGATCGGGGCCAAGCTCAGTCAGGCAACGGACCCTATGGGGGTCATTGGCCGCCGCCACCATTTCATCGAGGTCGATGTCATTCGTGTCAAACTTGGTGAGCGAAATTGTATCTGTAACCTCAGAATTTTCACTGTCGCCGTCCGGAACTCAGAAGGACACCGCGCCGAGTGGTGCTGAAGTGTGGGTTGGTGGGTTGGTTGGTGGTTCCGTTGGTGGTGGATCGGCAGGAGAATCGGGTCGAGTATCGTGGTGATGGTAGTTGTCGGTGTAGTGACTGTCGTTCCATGTACCCCAGGTGTCATCAGCATCGGGAGTGGGGATGTAGTTCGGATTCGATGGGTTCGCAGCTGGTCGAAGTATGACTTCATGGCCTCTGGATCGGCGACGTGGTGTCGCGGAACGTGGACGTGGGCGAGATCGATGACGTCGAGGAACCACGGGAGAGCGGCGTCGTGGTGGGGAGCGTCGTCTGTATGGAGATGGGGTTCTGCGGCCCTTGTCGGGTTTCGTGGATGATCGATGACGAGGGAGAGGAGAACGAGGTCGCTCTGCACGTGGAGGAGAATAGCGATGGCGATGAGAATGTACAGAAGGTCGATGGGAACGTGGTCGTGGAGTCCTAGATCTTGGTCGGCGTGTTGGGGATGATGGAACTGGTAGTTGGTGAGGAGGAGCAATGGCTGGGGCGTGAACAATGCGAAGGTCCGGAACGTCAGGTTCGGTAGGTCTGGCTTTCGGTGCAGGTGGAGGCGTGGCGATCAATGGTGTTGGATTGTAGGTGGCGGTACCGGTGGTGTAGGATTCGGTGGAGGTTCATCTTGTTGAAGAAGGAGTTGACGTTGTTCTTGTGCTCGTTGAGAATCCATGATCAATAGTTGCTGAGCTTGAATAAGTCGAACAGATTCAGCCAGTTGTTGTGCAGTGGAACCCAGGGATGCAAGTTCAGGTGACACGGATGAAGTCGGTGCCGTCGTAGGTGCCGGTGGTGTAGCGTGAGGAGGGGTTTTCGGAGCGGGCCTGCGCGGTCGATCCGGTCTTTTGTCAGAGCGATGCCTGGGAGCTGCCTTGACTGCTGGGGGCCGTGGTGAAGGCTCATTTGGAGGGACCGTCGATGCGTCCATCTGTAATGGAGGTTGAATGTGGTGAGGTGGGTATGGAGAACTGGGCAAAGGTGTCGGTGTCAAAGTCGATGTAGGTGGTGTAGTCGATGTAGGGCATGGAGCCGGAGGGGAAGGCCACGTGGGTGGAGCGGTGGGTGCCATAGGAGATGGAAACGTCGACGGAGCGGTGTGCACCATAGTTGGTTCAGGAGTCAAAGGCGAAGGCATGGTGGGTACTAGCTGTGGGCCTGGTACTGCATGAGGAGCCGAAGTCAAGGAGGTGAACGGCAACGATGTTGGTGTTGATGTAGACGGCATGAGCGAAGCTGAGGATGACCATGTAGGATGCAAAGCCGAGGGATGTCCAAATAGATGTGCATTCGGCGTTGATTGCTGCCACGTCGAAGGTGGGTTCGAAGGCTGCGGTGGAGCAGGCCATGACGTTGGCGGAGTGTTCCACGGATGCATCGCTTCAGTAGATCAAAACAAAAGTGAACAATCACATACAGGATTCAGTCCCTAACTGCCTAAAAAGTCGTGCGATTATTCCCTGCACCGGGACCGTGGTCAAGTCGTGCCGCAATGGCATAAAACAGCTTTCAAGTTCCAACGAATTAGATGCACAAAATGTTTCACCTCACCAGAGAACCAAAAGGAAGGAATACCACACCTGAAAGTCGTGTGCCTGCCTGATTCCTATAGCAAATGTTGTTGTCGTGAGTCATCAAAAGCAGCTGCGAAAATGAGAGGTTTCCGACGTTCAGCACGGCTTCACTTGAAAGAGCAGCTCACTGGGATCCCTGGGACCACAAGATCAGCGGGACAATCTCAAAAGGCTGGATAACCATAAGGCTGATTGTTGCCCTTTACTTAGACGAATTACTGAGTTAAAATGTGTTAATTCGGCAGTCAGGACAGTCATCACTCACCCTAAGAAGGGTGGCCTCAAATGGCTCCATGGCACCATGTCGGAGCCACCATGGAAATCACACTAGACAAGAATGGATCATTATATGATCCGGCAGGAACTGAATCCTGAAACATGCAAACCAGCCTAGATTATTAGAGGAATAAAAGAGCCACATGAGGTACTTCTCGAAAACGAGGTAGGGCATCCGATACTGTCAAACGTAGTCATAACCAGATTTCATAGAGTTTTTGACCAGCATGTTGAAATCCAAAATAATGTTTCGGCGATTGTTTCCCATAGTAACCCATAATTCGTCGGCGACAGGATCTCGGCGAAAATAGAAAAACATAATACTGTCGGCGATGTGGTTTCGGCGAAAATCTGAGGAAGGTTCTGATGCATGTAAATGTCAAAATTGATTCCAGATTGCGACAACAGTGCAGCAAATTGTATAATGTTGTGGTTGGGGTTCTAAGCTTGGCCCCTTGCTATGTCCGAAAAAAGCAGGTACGTGACAAAGGCGTCCCTTTGTCATATCACCATGGAAAGGCAGTGTCTTCGTTGGTGGATGACTGCCAGACCATGCATCCACCCCCTGCAAATTAGTGAAAACCAATAAGAAGTTTTACATCTGTTCAGATGGTACACACACACACACGACTTACTCACACACAACTTGCTCACACACAACTTGCACACACACACACACAACTTGCTCACACACAACTTGCTCACATACGACTTTCTCACACACAACTTGCTCACTTGCTCACCACAACTTACTCACACACAACTTACACACAACTTACTCACCCGAACTTACTCACGCACAACTTACTCACACACAACAACTTACTCACATACAACTTACTCACGCACAACTTGCACACACACAACTTACTCACACACAACTTGCTCACACGCAACTTGCACACACATAACTTGCTCACACACAACTTGCACACACACACACACAACTTGCTCACACACAACTTACTCTCACGGCGTTTTGCGTGGCAGGCGTGGCACTTCGTGACATCTGCCTTCACTTTGTGTGGCAGGCGTGGCACTTCGTGACATCTACCTTCGCTTTGTGTGGCAGGCCTGGCACTTGATGACATGGATTGTTACTTTGCGTGGCAGGCCTGGCACTTGATGACATGGATTGTTACTTTGCGTGGCAGGCGTGGCGCTTATGGCACTGGGTTGGCTCTGGTGGCGCGCTTGGTCAGCCATGGCGCCGTGACGCCGCGGCGTTTTGCGTGGCAGGCGTGGCACTTCGTGACATCTGCCTTCACTTTGTGTGGCAGGCGTGGCACTTCGTGACATCTACCTTCGATCCACCTTCACTTTGTGTGGCAGGCGTGGCACTTGACGACATCGATTGTTACTTTGCGTGGCAGGCGTGGCACTTATGGCACTGGGTTGGCTCTGGTGGCGCGCTTGGTCAGCTATGGCGCCGTGGCGCCGCGGCCTTTTGCGTGGCAGGCGTGGCGCTTCGTGACATCTGCCTTCACTTTGTGTGGCAGGCGTGGCACTTCGTGACATCTACCTTCGATCCACCTTCACTTTGTGTGGCAGGCGTGGCACTTGATGACATGGATTGTTACTTTGCGTGGCAGGCGTGGCACTTATGGCACTGGGTTGGCTCTGGTGGCGCGCTTGGTCAGCCATGGCGCCGTGACGCCGCGGCCTTTTGCGTGGCAGGCGTGGCACTTCGTGACATCTACCTTCACTTTGTGTGGCAGGCGTGGCACTTGACGACATCGATTGTTACTTTGCGTGGCAGGCGTACTTGCCGTCACTTTGCGTGGTAGGCGTGGTACGTTGTCGCTTCGGTGCCAAGTGACGACAGCTGGCAACGATGTGCAGAAAGACTTCGCAAAATTTGCGGTTACGGTATAAAGAGTGCAGACCATTACTTTGGTCGGCGGACCGAGTCAGCGGAAGTATGGTGAGCACACCATCGCTTTGATAGTATGTCGGGCAAAAACCAGCAGAGCCTGGTGGAAATCGAAGAAGACGACGCAACTTACTCACAAATTACTTACTCGCAAACAACTTGCCCTACATACATGCATGCATGCATACATACATGCATACATACATACATACAACACAACTTATCCATACACAACTTACTCACACTTACTCTTCCACACACAACTTGCTCCACACCAATCCTTCACCATCTCTTTTCTCTTTCCTGCTTTCCCCATGCTATCTTTACCTTTCTTTTGCTGCTTGTTGGAAGAAGTTGACATGTGGGGTTATCCGGTCCTTTACTTCTGTTTTGGCTTCCCTTGTTTACCCTCCATAGGGTGCACACAGCTTGGCAATGATAATGATTTGCTTGATGGCAGTCGTTCTGCCCTAGCAGAAGTTTCCCTGACCCGCGTTTATTTCCCGATCCACGAGAGAGTAGCCGCAAAAATGCACAGCGTCTAGTCTCAGGCATCGCAGCTGCCGTTTCATATTTGATGTACAGGTACTGGAGAAAGCCTTCCAAGACCGCTGAAGTTTTCCATATCGATGATCACGGGCACTTGTGGTTTCGATCTGGCGATATTGGGGCTCTGGACGAGCAGAACTTCGTTTACATCCTTGACAGGGCCAAAGACATCATCATTAGAGGTTCATGTGTTTGATATTGCATGTGTGCTGACAATGCAAAATTATGAGAAATCCAGATGCTTCCATACAACGTCCATATAGTCTTCAGCCTGCGCCAAAGCTATGTCAGGCGGTGAGAACATCTCGTGCGCTGAGGTGGAGCAGGCCGCGTCACAGAGTTCTTGCCTATCAGACTGTGCCTATAGAGTAAATAGGGGCCGGGCTGGGAGGAAGGCAAAATTGGTTAAACATGGGAGATGTTGCTTATGTCCGCTTGGGCGTGAATATTGCAAGTGCGAACAGGCTGCTTAAAATTAGGGAAGCGAGGCTGGAGATTAAGATTAAGATAGTAAAGGCCAAAAATGTTTTAGCATTGAACACAGCTGTATTATAGAGAACAACAACATGTTGTGACAAACATGCCAATGAGATGCAAAAAGAAGTGTTGGAGGGGCGGGCTTGTGTAAAATCTGGCTGAAGCCAGAATGAAACTGGTAGAACTTATTTGTCTCTGAACAGTGTGGCCACATTTGGGGTTCGTGCGGTAGGTGTTGCGGCCTGGTGTTCGTTCAAAGTTCTCTCCAGCGGGGCGGGCAAATTCCAGAACGCACTTGGCAACGAGCCCGAGGTCCGAGGTCCGAGGTCCGAGGTCGAGGTCCGAGGTTCGAGGTCCGAGGTTCGAGGTCCGAGGTTCGAGGCTCGAGGTCCGAGGTTCGAAGACCGAGGTCCGAGGTTCGAGGTCCGAGGCTCGAGGTCCGAGGTTCGAGGCTCAAGGTTCGAGGCTCGAGGCTCGAGTGCTCGAGGTCCGAGGCTCGAAGTCCGAGGTCCGAGGCTCGAAGTCCGAGGTCCGAGGTCCGAGGTTCGAGGTTCGAGGTCCGAGGTTCGAGGTTCGAGGCTCGAGGTCCGAGGTTCGAGGTTCGAGGTCCGAGTCTCGAGGTCCGAGGTTCGAGGTCCGAGGTTCGAGGTCCGAGGCTCGAGGTCCGAGGTCCGAGGTCCGAGGTCCGAGGTTCGAGGTCCGAGGCTCGAGGTTCGAGGTCCGAGGTCCGAGGTTCCAGACCCGAGGTCCGAGGTCCGAGGTCCGAGGTCGAGGTCCGAGGTTCGAGGTCCGAGGTTCGAGGTCCGAGGTTCGAGGCTCGAGGTCCGAGGTTCGAAGACCGAGGTCCGAGGTTCGAGGTCCGAGGCTCGAGGCTCGAGGTCCGAGGTTCGAGGCTCAAGGTTCGAGGCTCGAGGCTCGAGTGCTCGAGGTCCGAGGCTCCAAGTCCGAGGTCCGAGGCTCGAAGTCCGAGGTCCGAGGTCCGAGGTTCGAGGTTCGAGGTCCGAGGTTCGAGGTTCGAGGCTCGAGGTCCGAGGTTCGAGGTTCGAGGTCCGAGTCTCGAGGTCCGAGGTTCGAGGTCCGAGGTTCGAGGTCCGAGGCTCGAGGTCCGAGGTCCGAGGTCCGAGGTCCGAGGTTCGAGGTCCGAGGCTCGAGGTTCGAGGTCCGAGGTCCGAGGTTCCAGACCCGAGGTCCGAGGTCCGAGGTTCGAGGCTCGAGGTCCAAGGTTCGAGGTCCGATGTCCGATGTCCGAGGTCCGAGGTCCGAGGTTCGAGGTTCGAGGCTCGAGGTTTGAGGCTCGAGGTTCCAGGCTCGAGGTTCGAGGTTCGAGACCCGAGGTCCGAGGTTCTCGAGGTCGAGGTCCGAGATTCGGAGTCAGCAGGCGGAAGGTCGAGATCTCATGCAGGTCCGAGTTCCAGCGCGCATCACATAGTTGTCGCATTGATTGCATCCGCCGGCCCGATCCCAAGCTCCGCCAGACATAAAGTTTCATGGTTCTTCATATGGACATATGCAAAGAAATTTCAGATGAAGGTTTATTTCTGGCCAAGGTTGTTCCTCACATGCCGCAAGTGCCGAATACGGACGCGGCAGCCCGGCCAAACCAGAATCGATCCCAGGTGCAACGGCCCGCTGAGAGATGAAAACCCAAAGCCAATACTCCAAGTTTTTCTCCTTGTCTGTGTGTATATATATATACATATTCAGTTAGATACAGACTAGAAAATACAAATATAATGTAATATAAAAACATGTAATATAAAATAGCAATACCAGTAGTACCGCACAAGGCGGTGGTGGAAGTTTCAAAAATAGGAAACCTATAGGAGAGGTTGGTTGTTGTGAATCACGGATGGCAGAGTGAATCCACTGATGGACCGACAGGTGGTTGGAGTTGTGTTTTTTGGAATGGTTGCAGTGGTTGCAGTGGTCACCTTACCACAACTTCTGGATGTAGTGCAGTTGTAGTTGCAGTTGTAGCTGTAGTTGTAGTGTAGCGTAGTGTAGTGGAGCTGCAGCTGTGATGCAGTGTAATTAATTTATTGGCAAGTGCAGTTGCAGTTGTAGTCGTGGTGTGGTGTAATTAGTGTAGTGTAGTGCAGTGTAATGTCGTGTAGTGTTGTGTAGTGTAGTGTGGTATAGCGTAGTCTGGTGTGGTGTAAGGTACTGTAGTTGTAGTTGTAGCGTAGTGCAGTGTAATTAGTGTAGTGTCGTGTCGTGTCCTGTAGTACGTGTAGCGTAATGTAATGTAATGTAATGAAATGTAGTGGTAGTTGTAGTTGTAGTTGCAGTTGCAGCTGCGACTGAAGTTGTAGTGTAATGCAATGTAATCAGTGTAGTGTAGTTGTATTTGTAGTTGTAGTGCGCTGCAGTGTAATTAGTGTAGTGTAGTTGTAGTAGTAGTTGTTGTTGTTGTTGTTGTAGTTGTTAGTGCAATTCGTGTAGTGTAGTGTAATTAGATGCAACTAGTGTAGTATAGTGTAAGTAGTGTAGTGTCATGTAACGTAGTATATTTGGATTTGTAGCTGTAGCTGTGTAGTGGTAGTTGTAGTCGTAATTGTCTAACTATCTATCTATCTATCTGTCTATCTAGATACCGACAGCAATAAAGATGTACAGTTTTATTTCACGGGAGAGAGCCAGCAAAAAACTGCTTGGGCATTTAGCCAGGAAGAAAGGTGGTAATTGACAGACGTGGTTGCAAAAGATAGTCAGTGGAATGATCATTCTCCTTGATACGCGGTTCATCCGCTTGTAAACCCGAACAACTGCATGAAGCTATTTTTTGTTGCAATGAACAGACATTGTTACGAACCACTTCTCCATCCGACCGATCTTCACTGTAGAAAACAGCCGATAATGAGTTTCGCTATTGGATGTGCATCCCAGTTGGCATGAGACATTTACCATCCTGGAAAAAGTTTCAAGAAGAGGATGAAACGCCAGCAACCTTTCCAGTTTTCCATATCAAGAAACAAGTTAGTGGGGAGTCAACCTGCAAGAATATGGAGAAGAACGTTTCAGTCAATCAAAACCAGAGCAGCAGCATCCAGAAACACCCGGACGATCCAAATCAAAGGAAAAAATGGAGCTTACCCCAAGAGATTCAGCAGCCCTCGCCACTTTACATGCGAGAAGAGGCCTCTGTCGAGGAAGCGCAGCCATCGTTTCAGGCCAGGTGTCATGATTTAAATCTGGGGACATCCCACAACGTCAATCCTAGTCACCATGGGCGTTTAAGGTGCCAAATCGTGAGACAAATCCACATTTATTAAGCACAATTTTCATATTCAATGTATAGTTGATTTTCTTGATTATCGGACTTGAACCAACTAAACCATGGTTGTAACGTGCGACAGCAACGGAAATGTACCATTTTCTTTGAGGGAATACAGCCAACAGACACACGCGGAACAGGGTCCAACCAACAGATGGTGGTACAAGATAATGAGCGGAATGAGAGATCGGCTTGGCAACTGATTAGTTTCGGAGTTATGAAGTGCCATAGTAAGGGCCATCCAAACGCTATTGCGTATAGCGGATTTCATGTTCCAATTGACGCACATTGTTACAGACAACTTGCCAACTTGCCTGATCATCCCTGGAGACAGTATCCGATCTTGGTTTCCTTCTTGGATGTGGCTCCAGTTGGCATGTGAGTGGCAAAGTGTAATAGTTGTGGCTATCCCCTAGACATTGCATGCAGCGGCGTGCAACAATGCCCAAACATTGTAACAAAACACTTCACAAGTGACCTGATAATAACCATAGGGATACATCGGATCCTGATGTGTTTTTGCGACCGCAGCTTGATTTGCTAGGTTGACCCCGGCAGCGCCGACGACGCAAGCCGAAACTGCATGTGCGCAGGGGTCCTTGGTTTTAGATTGCGCCGCCCTTTTGCAGCCATATTATTGAGGCTTTAAAGTCGCAAGGCAGGCCGTTTTATACAAATTTATCGTGCGCATGGAGGGCAAAGCCGATGGTCCAATTGGCTGAATGACCAACAATGATCAATAGGTTTTTGCGCCGTAGGACAGGCGCAAGAAACCTCGAGGTCCGAGGTTCGTGGTCCGAGGTTCGAGGTCCGAGGTTCGAGGTCCGAGGTTCGAGGTCCGAGACCTGCGACCCGAGATCCCCCGAGGTCCGAGACCCGAGGTCTGCGGTCGGAGGTTCGAGGTTCGAGGCCCGATCCGAGGTCCGAGGTTCGAGGTCCGAAGTCCGAGGTTCGAAATTCGAGGTTCGAGGTCCAGGGTTCGAGGCTCGAGGTCCGAGGCTCGAAGTCCGAGGTTCGAGGCCCGAGGTCCGAGGTTCGAGGTTCGAGGCTCGAGGTCTGAGGTTCGAGGTTCGAGGTTCCAGGTCCGAGGTTCCAGGTCCGAGGCTCGAGGTCCGAGGTCCGAGGTCCGAGGTCCGAGGTTCGAGGTCCGAGGTTCGAGGTCCGAGGTCCGAGGGTCCGAGGTCCGAGGTTCGAGGTCCGAGGTCCGAGATCCGAGGTTCGAGACCCGAGGTCCGAGGTCCGAGACCCGAGGTCCGAGGTGGGGACGTCGTGGCGGCAACAGCCATCATGGATTGTCAAGTAGGTCCGAGGTTAGAGACCGAGATCCGAGGTCCGAGGTTCGAGGTCCGAGATCCGAGGTGGCAACGCGGCGGCTACATCCATTGTCAAGTTCGATCTCGCAAATTTGGTGGCCCTTCCAGCACAAAAGTTCCTTCATTTTCCGTTTCCAATTGCCCGGAGGCCTCTCTTCCGAAGGTCTCGTTTCACCAGCACGTCGTGCTCGAATTTTGAGCTATGTCCATTTTGTGTGGCACGCGTGGCGCTTTCGAGACATTTTGAAGTCCAAAATGTCGT